TCTTTCCCTGTCTCTTTTTCCCATTCCATCCAAGTTCCCTCCTTCCCACAAGCAATTTTTTCAGGGGCAAGCCCTTTTCACAGCTTACAGCCACACCTGAGGACACAGCAATATTGACTGATCATGGGCTCCCTTTATAGCATGTCCAAGGACACCACTCTCATGGTCCTCATGGAGAATCCTTGTCCCAGACAGCAGCATGTACCTCTTGGAAGGAGCCTCTCCCTCCGGAATGGCAACACCCCAGACAGCAGAGAACACTTACCATTCTCTTCTTGCACCTGGGCTACAAAAGGAAGGGGAAAGGCTGTTAGGAAAGAGAGGTCACTGGGCTCAGACCCCATGTGGGCTCCAGATGTGGGGATTTGGCTGAGTCTGCCTCGCTATGCCTCATTTCTTGTTAGTGGGGAACCCAAGGACACCACGCTTACAGGTTTCATATACAGAGCCTTGTTCTAGACACCAGCATGTCTCACTTGGAAGAACCGTCTCCCTCTGGAATGCGCACAATCCTTTCAAGCCTTTATGGCTACATGCAAGAGAGGGAGCTGGAGTTCTGTTTCAGAGCAACACAGAAGGTCCAAGGGGGCAACTTCCTGTCTCCACTCTCCTCTCCTTTGCCCCACCACAGGTAGGCAAGGACCTTGCAGGCAGCCCTTTCAGGCAGCTGAGCCCTGAATGGTTTCATCTCCACCCGATCAGCTTCCCGTAGTATCTTACAGTCAGAATGCATGATTGGTAACGTTGCTGGTGCTCACTACCTTCTGCTGGGCCTTGGACTGGTCCATCGAAGCCACAGGGAGGGTTGCAATGAAAGCTGGTGTGAAGTGATCATGTGATGTGACCATCCCCACCATCACAGCATTGTTGCTGCCACCATTTACCAAGTGGCAAAATGGAACTGAAAATGCCCTTCAGAAGAATGATATTTTTCTATTATTTGAATCTCTTAAAAAATGGGTATAGCAAGTATTGTTCCCTGAAGCTTGTCGCAAAGGTTTATTTGACACCAGCAGCACAGGATCTGAGGGCAAAGTGGAAGGAACATTGAATGCTTTCCCTGGTAACTGGGACAGTTCAATGAAGAAGGGATGCCAGGCAGGTTCTGAAGCTCTTTTTTCTCAGTGCATTTTTTATTGTACTGTTGCTACACCCAATGGATAACATGGGCCAACCACTTGTCTCATATTCCAACAGATGGATCAAGCTTCATGTGGCTGTTTTCTCAACCTGCACACTTCCCCCGCTAGCCCGTAACCACAGCGAGCACGTGGTTCACAAGTGACTTTGTGCAGGTACACTAACCAAAACTACGTGAAAATTTCACAGCTCCACAGAGTTGTATACACCAATGAGTAAGAGGGCAAAAACATAACAAGGAAAGTTCTCCTACCTTTTAAAATGCTATCTCTTTCTCTGCATCTTGCTGAGGGTGCAACGTTTCACTTCTCTGTTGCAGTAAAAGAGAAAGAAAGTACGGAGCAGTTGCAGACTTTGCTGAAATCACTGAGCTGTAAACAGCAAGGAAGGGAAGGATTATCATGGGCAAAACTCACCGAGGCTGCTGTTCCTCCACCTCAGGAGGGCAAGAGAGTCATGGAAGGATGGAAAGAGGAGAAAGGGCTGGCAGTCACAGGGTGAGGGAGCACTGCAGACAGGAGACACGTCCCTGGAGCACAGGTGAAAGCAAGCTCTTTGCTCCCATAGTCATAATGGTTAATTTTTGAACCCGTCTGTTTTTCAATTGGTTCTGAGGCCAGGATAGGTGCAAAGATGAAGGTCACTGAAGTAAAGATAGGATGGGAAGGGGAGGGGTATTTTTTGGAGTGAAGCCGTGTTTTGCTGAGTAGAAATGGCTTTGGACAGCCATACAGGTTTCTGGGAAGGAAAGAAGGATGTTATTGCTTATTGAGCTGTTTCTTCTTGCAGCATGATATCACAGGGACATACAAGGAGTAGCAGCAACCTCCATTTTTTCTCTCCTCTCCTTCGTAACCACAATTAAGCCATGGTTCATTCAAAAAAATCCCAAAAATTAAAAAGGGTAAGCATTGCCATTCAAGGATTAGTTCGACCTGTTATGTAGCATCAGTGCCCAGCCTTTGGGGAAGTGGGATGTACCTTTCTGCCCAGGCTCAACCCTTAGCAGAAGGAAAGGCAGGTTCTGATGTATAAGTGGTCGCTAGTAAAACAGCAGCTTAATTTGGACATGTGGAATCTGGAGAAGATTTGCTAAACTTCCTGG